GAGCGCGAAGGAGACGAACACACACACACACACACACACAGACGAACTGAAGAAGAAGAAAAACGAAGAAAGAAGTAGAAGAAGAAGAAGAACAGATTCGAAGAACATACCTCGATCTAGGGCTTCAACATATTTTTCTTCCTCTCTCTCTCTCTCTCTCTCTCTCTCTCTCTCTCTGTATTCAACAAGTTAGGGTTTCTCTCTCTGTCTCTAACGTGTCCCCATGTCTAAGTGTCCCAAGTGCATCTGGCTGAAAAAAATTGAAAAAAAAAGGGAGACGCGTTAGGTAGAGTGTCCACCGCATGTCCGACGCGAGTCCGTATCCAACACGTCTAAGTGTCCCAAGTGCATCTGGCTGAAAAAAAATTGAAAAAAAAAGGGGGACGCGTTAGGTAGAGTGTCCACCGCATGTCCGACGCGAGTCCGTATCCGGCACATGTCGGACACCCATACGTTACCTCCAGAGAGGTGTCCCTACTTTATAGGAAGCGCCTTTCCACTTCAAAACCCCTATTATTTTGCACTTGCAAAAAAAGATCCATGTAGTCGGCTACATCTTATTGGAACATGTGGTCCGGGCTGGTTTGGTTTAGATTAAGTGATATATTGGGTCAATTGTTCATAAAAGCGAAGAGATTGAGTAGGATGTCGCAAATAGAATTTGAGCAAGATGAATGAAATGAAGGAGAGTATCAAGAGTGTTAGGATTCCTATAAGTCATTAAACTTGGTCATTTTGATAAAAATGGCTGCAAGTGGACTGGGTTTATGTGTTTAAACGGACTACGACCAAAGTTGTGGCTACTTCAACCAAAAGAAGGGAGGAAAAATTTTACAAAACTTTTTTATGACGTGTTATGATGTTTAGTAACAAATGTTTAACGGTTAAGAAAAACACATGTATAGAAATATGTAGGTAAAATGAGAGGGATTGAAATGGATGAGTGGTGTTACAAGACAAGTGATGGCACGTCCCTTTGACTATTTGCAAGTTGTTTATAGGATTTGGAAACCTGTGGTAAAGCTTGTGGGTCCGAAAGCATTTTGGTCTCATAAATGTAATAAGTAGAATATTATTAATAGTATTTAGTTAGATTTAATTACGTAATATTAGTATTAGATCTGGGAAAATTACCAAAAAACACAAAAAAAACAAGGGTTTGACCCTTGTAACAAAGCAAACCTTGAGTTTTTAATTTCTTTAATTTAAACCTTATATTTTAAACTCTATAACAATTTGAATCCTCCGTCCATAACTGTTAAATCATCTAACGGAATCTTTTTTAAAATATATGTGGCGTTCTCTCACTCATTCTTTTAATTAATGTCATATCTAATTTTGTTTTTGACCACACCCTATCAAATTTATATTTATAAAAAACGTACTTAGATCTGGCCCTTCAATTTTCAACCCGACCATAGAGTTAAACACACTAGATCCATTTTCATTTCCTTTCCATCCCTTCCCAGACCACCATTTCTCCCTATGACTGGCCAACCATCCCCCATTACTCAATCCAGAAATCATTCCAACCCCCCGCCTAAACACTCATTCCAGAAATCATTCCATCGCTTCCCAGACCACCATTTCTCCCTATGATTGCATTCCGTCATTAGCAATGGCGACAATGGAGAACCTGTTATATATCGTACACATATAATGTTTGTATACATGTATGCATATATAATGTATATGCATGTATAATCATGGTTAGTAAAATGACAAGTTTACCCCTATCTATGTTTGTCTTTTTAACAACAGACAAAAAGTTAAAATTGTTATCAATTTAAAAAAGGACAAATTATGCTCCTAGTCCCTGTACTTTGACCCTTGTGTCATTTTAATCCCTGTACTTTTTATTTGACTCAATTTGGATCCTAAATTTTTTACTTCGTTTCAAATTGATCCAATTGATTTCAATTGTTAACATTTTGAGCAAATTATACCGGTGGTCTCTATATTTGACCTCTTGTGTCATTTTGGTTCCTACACTTTTAATTGACTCAATTTTCACCCTTAATTTTAGATTGTTTGTCAATTTAGTTTAATTGATAATATCATTAGTGTTTTTTAAAGAAAATTATCACTAAATTGGTTGAAATTAACTCATTGAGTTGAGTAAATTTATAATTTTGCTCTTAAAAATATGAGACATGACACTTGTGTGCATATTTTCCATAAATAAATACTAAGAGTTATAATCAATTAGACCAAATTGAAATAAAATCATAAATTTGGGTTAAAATCGAGCCAATTGAAATTGTAGGGACTAAAATGAGACAATGATCAATGCACAAGAACTACCATTGTAATTTACCCTAACATTTTTTATGGAAAATGTGCACGAGTGGCATGTGTCATGCTTTTAAGAGAAATTATAAACTTGATCAACACAGTGACTTAACCTCAATCAACTCTGAAAAAACTTTTCTTCAAAAAACCTAACGGCATTATCAATTGAATCAAATTGAAGCAAAATTTAAAATTAGGGGTTAAAATTGAGCCAATTAAAACTATAAGGACTAAAATGATATGAGCGGCAAAATACACGGACTACCGATGTAATTTGCCCTTGAAAAAATTAAGGTTTAAATTGAAGAAATTAAAAACTCATAATTTAATTTGTTACATGAGTCAAATTTTGGGGATTTTTTTGGTAATTTCCCTATTAGATTTTGATTTTGTTTCCCCAATAATATTATGATAGTTTCCTATTTAAATTAGGATTTTGGCTTATAATGGTTATAGCTCTAAGTTAATATTATTGAGTGTTTTAGGTTGTAGTTGTTTCGGTTCTTCTCTCTTTTCTCCCTGTTCAATTCATCATCATTTGGTATTAGAGTATACCTTGATTCCTCATGTTCGTCCCTTGCTGTTGCACCCCATTGACCAACTAGATCATCTAAGCCTCGACAATGGGCCGGCCCAAAAATTTAAGGCCAAAGCCGAAGTCGATAGGCTTTGACTGGTCAACAAGCCGGGTAGGGCTTGATCTAGCCCATGTGATATTTCTAAAACACATGCCCTACACATGGGCTTAAAAATATGAGCTTATAGGCTGTAAACAAGACCCATATGAACTTTTTTTTTAAATAAATTCAAAAAAAAAGTTAAGTACAATTAAAAAAATTATAATACAAAATTTTGAAACTCATTGCATTAATTAGAATCGAACACTGTTAATCAAAAAGAAAATAATTAGAATCGAATTTTGAATCATGAAAAATCAGAAACTTAACTTCATTTATTGAAATACATAATTACATTCATTATTATTATATTATTAAATTGTAAACATCTTTATGTTAAATTATAGCTATTAGTTTCATAGTTGGCGTACTATTCACTTAGTTTCTCAATTTTATCGTATTGTTGTATTAAAAACGTACATGTACACAAAAAATTAAAAGAAAAAAAGAAAGAAGAAAATAGCATATTATTTAGTATATATGGGCTCTGGCATGGGTTCATGTGCTGGGTTTTTGGGCTAGCCCACAAACCCTACCCCTCAACCGAAGCCCAACCCATATATTTTAGGGTTGGAACTAGTCATCCCTGGGCTGATAGGCCAGGTACAGGGCCGCCCATTTTCTTTTTAATGAGACTTAAGATCACCATCGTCGTTTGTTCATCAACCCCCACCTTTCCATCACTTCCTATAGTCAAACTTCTTCCTTTCTCTGTCGCCTCAACACTTTTATCTCTTCCTAACTCCTTCGGTTTCCTCTCCATCGCCGTACACTATCGTTGCAGCCCCTACCTCTCCTTTTCTCTCTTCATCAAAACCTTCCATAGAATTTTCTCCCTTGCGTTGTTCCTCAAAGTCAACTGAACTTAACAACTAAAGAAAGGGTTTGACATAACCCTAACTTGATGTCATATAGTTGTCTTACATATTCTTATATATAATTGTCTTATATATTCTTATATAACATATTCTTATATAATTGGCCTCCAGTTTGCTTATCTTTATCTAAATAGTAATGGTATGCGTTTTCAAGCATTTCGAAAGTTTATACCCCTTCGATTACAAAAACACCTTTGAAATGCCAAGAACATACCTTTGATATGAAATATTAGGACATTTTTCAGTTTGCATCAATATATAAGTGCAAACATGGATAGTTATGCATGTGCAAAGAGCAAACATCACTTTCTTTCTCTTCCAACTATTATTATTATTATTATATATATTTTTGAAGTATTGATGAAGGTAGAAATAAATGCATTCATGGGAAGTTAGAAATGACAACAATTAGAGATAAAATGAGAAAAAAATCAATTAAGCTGGTATGGTGTAGCCACGTACAATATAGACTAACCAACTTGCTTCCAAAGAGTGAAATGATCTAGGCTGAGGGCACCACATATAAAAGAGGAGAGGCAAGAAGGAGATGAGTTCAAGAAGTATATGATTGGCTTGGAGTTAATAAAGCCAACTGGAGAAGACAGATCCGTCATCCATGTAGCTGAGCCTGAGTAATTAAGTCTGATGTATGCAAAGCGGAGTTTTCCAGAAGGGAAAGGGGGGGCACCTGGGCAAGTTTTAGTCATGTACTTTTAAGTCCATCTAAATTCAAATTACTTGGCTGCGCATGTATGTCAGTTAGAAATTAATCACTCTGAGTACGCGTTAAAAGGCATACACCTTTGATTTGAGGTTCATGAAATGACATTCTTCAGATTTTTAAATATCATTTGCAGTAGTGGTTTTATTTTCTGCTGCAAGCTCCATCTAAGTGAAGGATGTGTGCCATTGATTGGCATTAAGAAAACAAAGATTAGAATATATTAAAGCCTTTTTTTATGTAATGTCAGCATGCCTGCCTTCAAGAACACAAGCTCAATCAGCTAAACTTCAGATGAGATCAAGCATAAAACGCCCTCCCATTTACAAGTTCGGGTAATTCTTCCATTTATTTCGGCAACTAATATATTGTACCAAGAATAAAAACCATCGAAGAAAAATAAAATTGACTAAACTTAGACAAACACAATACCTTGGAACACCTTTCCATTGATATCAACCTCATATGATTCCATAACCTCTTGGATTGCAGCACCAACATCACAAAGACGTACATCAATTCCAGACTCCTAGATAACACAAAGTTGCAAAATCATGGTTGGATGTGTGGTTATTACATATTTTATGTGAAAGCAATAAATTGTAAATTAAGTACTCAATGCGAAAAGCTTCACAATAAAATATATAGCTTATCTGAAAATAAAAGAGAATTCAAAAGAATTAATACTGATGAAACTGGTTTACAAGAAAATACTAGTTTTTATTCACGACTTTTTCAAAAATTTACACAACAAAAAGTCTGTAATTCCTCAAAAAAAATTGGCAAGCTTGGCTTAGCAAGATGTGATCCACACAAAGATGAACTGATCCACACAAATATTTGGCCCAACACACTGCCTTTCAGTACTTAAAAAATGAAATTGCATTTTAATTGAAAGAATAATATGTATAGACTCCATAGGTGCATTTTTGGAGAAATTGTGGTGTGGGGAGGTGAGGATGGAAATGGCATTTTCAGCACTTGCCAGGATTGTTGAGGATAGAGGAGTTGTTAGCAACTACCTTAGAACCGAAGGAAGTCCTGTTTTGGTATATTGCTTTCCATAGAATTTGAACGATTTGAGAAGATTTAATAACTCTCCTTGAGGTTCTTTATCACACATCATTGATAGGAGAGGGAGAGAATGTGTTGCATCGGTTGACATTATAAATCTTGCAAGTTTGAGGGAAAGTCCTACTATAATATTTTGGTGGGTAGTAAAGACAAGTCTTTTCCTTAGAGGGGTATTTGGGGGCGCAATAAGCCCCCTTCCAAGGTTGTGTTCTTTGTATAACTGTGATGCATGGGGCAATCCTCATTCTTAGTAATCTCATTTGAAGTAAATTGGTGCCACATGTGCAAGCAAGGCTGGGAAAATGGTAGGCCATCTCCTTATTCACTGCTTGATGGCCTAAGAAGCATGGACACGGACACGTGACACGACACGAATACGACACGGACACGCCGACACGTTAATTTTAAAAAAATGCAGGACACGACACGTGGAGGACACGCATGAAATATATAATTTTATATATTTATTATATATTATATATATGAATATATCATTCAAAGATAATAAAAAATGCAATATAGCACTATTTCCTATAAATTTATATGATTTTTGTTTTATTATTGTATCTTAAGTTGTTTTGTTCAAACTTATAATTAGTTTTACATATCTATAATCAATAGACACATGTGTTTAAACAATTGACACGTGTGTCCTCCAAGTGTCCAAAGAGTGTCCGGGTCTTTAAAAATATTTAAAAAATAGGACACATTTTGAAGAGTATCGGACACGTTTCCTAAGAGTGTCCAAAGAGTGTCGGTGTCCGACACGGACACGACACGGATACGTCACCTTCTTAGAAGTGTCCATGCTTCTTAGTTGATGGCTTTAGAGGTTTGGACTTAGTTTCTTATCTCGTTTGAAATGACATGAATTTTTCTACCGATCATTGCGAAAGCCTATGAAGCACAAACACGGACACGGATACAGACACGGACACGGTAATGTAAAAAAATGGAGACAAGGACGCGGCGGGAGACAGCAAATTTTATATATATATATATTTGCTATGTAGATTAATATTATGTTACCAACAATCAAAATTAATAAAAACTAAAATATATATATACATCACTATATTTATATTTATAAAGGCAAAAGAAAATAAATAGAGAAATTAAAAAATATATTAAAATAATTATAAATACAAAAAAAAAGATACTTAAAAAAAATTTATGATCCCAACCACTATACACCTCAGTTCAAGTAACCATTGCATCACGGCCACCAATATAAGTAACAACTACAAGTAACAGAACCCAGGCAGCAGCCCACCTCTTCATTATTTAATCCTTATCTTGACTTTTTCCAATCTTCTTTATTTAATAGTTATAAATTATAATCACAAAGAAAAGAAAAGAAAAAAAAAAAAAAAAAAAAAAAAAAAAAAAAAAAGAGAACAGAGAAGCGAGAGAGAAGCGAGAGCGAGAGGCGAGAGGCGAGAGAGAAGAGAGAGGCAAGAGAGAGAACTTACCTGACCAACAAACCAACTTCGCATGTTCAACCGACAAACCAGGTACATAGCTGCTGCTGCTTCTTCTTCTTCTGATTTTGAGATTTAGGGCAAATCTCTGAACTCTGATCTTGGACACGCATGGTCTCTGGCGTGTCCCTTGCAAAAATAATAATAAAATTCAAGGGACATGCCACGTGTCCCCATGCCCGACACCGCTACAACACTAGTTCTGCCGTGTCCGTGCTTCATAGGTGAAAGCTTAAGCATTTTTGTAGAGGGGCTAGAGTGGGTAAGAGAAAGAAGGCATAGTGCTTGAGGGCGTTGGCTTTGATGCATGGAAAGCACAAAACAGGATAACTTTTGATGGATTGAGACTCCTATTGTCATTTTGAAGAGTCAAATTTTGGTCATTTCATATAGTTGGTTCTTGGGAGGAGTTATACCCTCCTCAAACCAATTTTGGATTATGTGTAGTTTTTGGAGTAGATTTGATATATAGCTGACCTGTTTTGTTTTTGTTTTTTTGTTTTGTATACAAGCAAAACCCCCTTGGTCTCTATATTTAATAATATCCATTTACTTGTATAAAAGGATTGTTTTGTTAGAATCTTAAGATTCATGACTTGCATCTTACTATTCAATTCAATTAGACCCCTATTTGATTTCAATCTATAATACTATCATTCAAGAGACCCAAAACTCAATTTTTCTTTACCTACACAACTCCAAATCAAAACTGCTCTTTTCACATGTTACAACATGCAAAGAGATTTTTTATATCATCTTTTTTTATTAAAAAAGTTTTTGTTTTGACCTAAGTACTTGCATAGTACTTACATTGATGCAAGCAAACACAATGTATGGCATTGGTAATGCCAAAATACATTTGAAGTATGATCAATTCAACCATACAGATTTGGGTGATGTAACTCAAATAAAACTATGAGCTCTAAATGTCTTGAATTGTTAACAAGGTAATGAAGTTGTTAAGAGTATTGTTTACATTAAGAAAAGAAAAAAATCAATTCAAAAGGACAAAAGACACCATTTCTTTAATGTTTTAAACTTTTATTTCATTTTTTTTTTTTTTTGTAAAGGCAGTAATGTGAGAATGCATTTAGTGTAATGATTGTGAAATTGTACATCATAATAACCTTATATGGATAAACAAATAATTGGTTGGAAATTTGGAATTTGAGAAAATGGTTCGTATTTTTTGGGAGTAGTAGAAAATGTTAATTTTTTAATTATATGACATGAAAAACATAATGGACGTTAAGGTAATAGAATGGATTGTTTTGAAGAATATTGAATATTAGAAAGTTGGTGTAAAAGAAAAGATTATAGGTGCAAATGTTACCAAGGAGAGAAATTTTCAAGAGTTTAAACAATATTCTGGAAAAGATAACAAAAAGAGATATAACTAGTGAAGAACATAAGGAAAACGAAATTATTAATCCATGTGCAATGAAGGTCAATCATTGCACTAACCAATACAGAAGAGCAAAATTGTCAGCATTGAACATAATGCTAAAAATGAAGAAGAAAAAAAATCAACAGAAGTTGAGATATTAAAAGAAGGCATGGTCAGTTAGAATTTACTTACTGCTTTAGTCCTTAATAGAGCAAAATGTAAAAATAAGTTTCATGCATGCCTCCAAAAAGTTAAATATTTGCATTGGTTCATGGCTTACTAATAAAATGTTTCAGAGGAGGAGGTTCAATCACTATTTACTTCCGCAATGGTGCATTATGTGCAAGGGGAAAGATGAAAGCATTGATCATCTATTTCAGAATTTCCACCTCACTATGGCATTAGGTCATAGATTGTTTCAGCTGGTGGAGATTGACTGGGTAATTCCAATTTCATGTGTTCAGATACTAATCATCAATTACTGATTATAGAGATTTCAACTCCCATAAGAAAGTCCAAGTTGTTTCAAGTTATACTATTTGTGAAGTGACTTGGGTTATTTGGTTGCGAAAAAAAGCAAAACTTTTTAAGATTATGGATAAAACTCATTTGTCCTCCTTCTGTTCTTCAGTTTCAGTGACATCCCCTGTAAGGGGAATCCTTTATCTTTCTATTTCTAAAGATTGGAGAGCCATTTGTGATTTGTAGTTTTGCTTTTAATTATTTTCTATTTGGAGGACCTCTTGTTCTCTTTGAATTTCTTTGTATTTCTTTTTTTCTAATAAAATTTAACAAAATTTTCTTGTTGCCCAAAAAAATGGAAAAAATAAGATTCATATAGGCAACCTCTGGTTTATTTTTACTTTACTACCTGATTAAATCAACTTATTATGACTATATATCAAAATTTTCATTTCCACATTTAGTTTTAATGGAAACATGCCTACATTTGTTTTTTTATTTGTTCTTAAAATTCCAACAAATATGATTCATGTTTCAATTCAATTTGCAACTGATAAACGTAGGATTTCAATTCATGATTTGAATCTCGATCTACGTTATTCGTCTCACATCACATATATAGTTAATTAAAACAACTGGTTTCCACATTTCCTTTGTTGTTTAGAGTGTGCATTATCAATTTAGTTGTGATTATAGAGAAGTATATTAGAGTCAAGATCACAGTAGGTTTTAGCTCCAAGAATATTTGGGTCAAGTTCACTCCAATCAAAGAGGGTGTTTATAGTGTGGAATGCATAATCTTCTGGAAGCTATATTTATGCAAGATGAAGATGACCTTAGAATCAAAAATCAAATCCACGAAATCAGCAATCAGATAGCGTTCGATTAATGCTATTGCATAGCTGTGTCATTATTCAACTGTTTCAGTCAAACTAATTTATCCATACTTGTGTGTTCTCATGCAATAATTCAAGTATCAAGACTGACCCATTTACCCAATATAAACACCTCAAGGAAAAGAAATAGATTGCTAGAAGAGCAGATTTGAAGAATTAATGTTATTTGATGAGAGGAGGTTGAAGGCATTGTATCACGTCCAGGGCTACCAATGCAGAATTGCTAGGGCTTTTAACAAGAAAGTAAGTCCAGAAACCTTAAGGAAGGGGACATGGTACTGAAAGATAACCTAGCAATCAGAGCATTCAACCCATACTCGTGTATTCTCATCCAATAATTCAAGAATCAAGACCGAATCATAAAATTTCCTTTTTAAATTTATCATCCATCAATGTTGACATACTTCGTAAAAGAGTTACCACAATCTGGCTGACAATTTTAACAAAATGCATAAACTATGAGTGTTATAGATCGGGTCAATCACCTTGATACCCGTGTTCGTTGCTTCTCGTGAGGCTTCAAGCAAAGGATCAAACATAGGATTGAATGCCACAGTAAAAGCACAGTCAACTATGTGTCCTGCAAGTAACCAAGCCATCAACAACACAAAAAAAAAAGTTGCACATTGCATTGAAATTAAAAATTCTGCCAACAATATAGGCAGTAAAGTAAGACAAATGGACAAGAAACGAATACCATCAACATGAGTTCCAAAATCCAATTTCATCACATCATCATACTGAAGTACAGTTTTGTCTCCGGAATTTGGAGTCCAGTGAGCTGCAACCCTGGCCAAAAATGATCTTTAAATACAAATACGACAAGAAGATAAAAAATAAAAATAAAAATAAAAAAATGAACCCAGAAGGGTCTTCAAATGCCTTACTAAATGTTTACCAATTCAAAGAGCACCCTGTAGGGAACGCAATGCCTGCTTGTAGACTATTCTCCGATATCAACTTACGGACGGTATTCTCCAGGGTTTCACATAAGTCAATCATTAACATCCCAGGCTTCAAAATACCTTTGATGTATTTTCGAACCTAAAAGCAGGCAAACAAAACATTTTATGTGATAAACCAGATGCAGAAATCCTCACTGAAGTTTTCACCAGCATTAACAGAAAGTAGATTTCTTTGTTTCTATATTAGCAGCTGTATGTGCATTGTTTCATATAAGAGAAATTAGAAAATAGAAACCTGACGATGAACTTCTGCAGCTCGACGAACAGAATTATATATGGGTTTTTCCAGGCGCTCCAACTCTCTCTTTTCTTCAGATGTAGTCCTCCATAGGTTACTGAAACAGAACCAACAACAATGAAAATCAAGCTACAAAATCAATGGAAACAAAAAAGGGATGCAAAGTAAGGGAGAATTACAATGGTAAATGTAAACATGGCTAATAAGAGACCCAAAATTAAGGTTCCCTACCATAAACAAAAGCATTTATATTGAAGTGATCCAAAGTACATAATTATGCCTCAAACTACTACTAACCAACACTAAGCATAAACAATGATAAAAAAAAATCCTACTACGAAAACCTTTATTGAAAACATCAGCCAACTGATCTCTTGATTTCACAAAAAGGAATTGAAATCAATCCTCTATTGTCAATCTCAATATGATTAATTCAATCATGTTGAATAGGAGAATGAACAATATTAATGGCATCCATCTAGATGCACTGAATGAGGATCATGCATAACCGGTCGTTTTTCAATAAAAAAATACAACATTATACTTGACAATGGTTCCTCCTGGTATCGTACCACAGGGACTAGGGGCTAAATTTTATTGATTCAAATGGTAATTCCTAAATTAATTCGATTGAATAAGAGTGGAGTGAATTAAACTGTGAATTGAAATCTAAGCAAGACTAATTAGTCGAGCAGTAAAATTGGTTTTGTTCTGAGATGGAGAGATTCTTAGGATTTCAAATCCATTGCTAATCGCAAAACAAGTAATTAATGCATTAAATTCTAATAAATCAATGATTTGGATAATAATGATGTATCATGACTACAAGCCCCAATATCATTATCAAGAAGATAAGTAATATTCAAAACACATGCACGAATCATTTTGGTCGGCATAAATCGTCCACACTAAACCAGGATTGTGGCACAAATCATGATTTGTCTCCCCTAGGCATGATTTGTCTCACAATTTTTATATTCAAACAAATAAAACAGTTGAATAACCATGCATTCTCAATCATAGAAATCAAACACATTAATTAAATATATATGTTTTTACTAAATAAATAATATTAAAAGGGTAATACAACGATTATCCAAAATCAAATCAAAGTTAAAAGATCAATACATCAATACACGTTACTTGACTAGGGTTTCATCTTCATCCTAAGAAGAGCGTGTAGCCGCTCACGGAGAACGTAGAATCCACAATGGTTGATCAGAACACCACAGAAGGATAGTTGGAATCGCCTCTCTAGCTTCGAGCAGTCTTTTGTACAACGGTCAAATCCCTAATTTTTGAGTTATGAGAGCCTATTTATACTTTTTAGCACTTCCAGTAGCTAAGGTCGAGCGCGCACGCAAAACCAAATAAAACTGCTCAAGCGGCCCACCCCTTATACTCAAGCGGATCAAATTAGTGCATTTTCAAGCTTCGAGGTTTTCCGCTTGTTCGTGGACATTTGCCGCTTGAGCAGCTTTTCGATCAACTTGTAACCCCCATTGTAAATGCAATGTCTAGTCAAGTATGACACATTATATATAAGTCTCCCTACAAGTGTCTTGTATCTCTCTTTATCTACAGGATCACCAACAACACAAGTATTAGCCTCAATCAATGAATCTAATGGCATGTTTAATCAATAAGATCAAGGATTTAATTCCTCTAGGAAACAAAGATGCCCTTATATGATCTGGCTATTTCAATCATAGGAAGTACCTCAAAAGATCACGACCATTGATATTAAATTCCTTAACTAACCTTGCATGAGTCACTTCCTTCATGTCATTAGACAACACATGATTAATAAGCTATGTTGCAGTAAACATGAGAGAGCAAGCAACCTCAAGGAGATGGTTGTAAAATTTTGTATGTACTGTCTCCTATATTGAATAGTGAGGAACCCAATGAGTTTGCATAATTTTGAAGTGTGTATTATCAAATAAGATCAACAAAAATGCATAAACCAAGTCACCACCTGCTCACAAGTTGTATGCTAGAGTAGGGAACTTTAGTTGAGGGGTGTACCATTACTTAGAAGTTACAACATTATGATGGCTCAAAAATTGATTCAACGAAATTAATATAAATGGAGGAAAAAATGTCATGTCAAAATAGAAGTTGAAAATTATGAACACCACCAAGAGAGAAAATAGAGCTATCTAAAAATTCTAGGAAGGATCAAATTTATATTAGAAGCCAATTAATTACAAAGTTATAACAAAATACAAACAATTTTTTTTTTTTTAATATTTACCCCCCAAAAAAGCATACACACTAATTTTTCAATGACCTTACCTCAATATTTTATACGTGGAAAAACTCACCAATGGAAATAAAAAAATCAAATTTAAAACACATTAAAAAGTATAATTGAAGGCAAAAGCTAACAAGGGCCCCTAGGGCATTATTTAATATGGGATTTGCGTAAAAACTTTTATGAAAATGATGAAAATGGTTCAAAAAACTTTCGAAATCGATGAAAGTGTTTTGCAATTAGTAAAAAATGTCTGGTGTCTTTCACTTTTGGGGGGGGTCTTTTTTGTGTGCCCCAAGGAGCACTTGTTAGCAAGAACCATAATAGAATTCCAATACTCTTTTTTTTTTTGACAACTTTTTATTCTTTTTCTTGGAAGGCAAAATTATATTACTCAACTACAACTCAACAAGCTTTAATCCCAATTTCTTGGGGTTTTCTTTCATGATTCCCTTTCAACTCCAATAAAAGCCATAGCTTTGGTAAAGTTAAGGCAATCAAATCCTTTTTCACCACACCAACCAATGTCCTTTCAACCTACCATATTGTTTTATAGTACCCTCAACTTGGATTGAACTGCTAATTTTTTAAAGGTGCATTGATTGGTCAGTCAAAGAATCACAAATATGGATAGCCAACATGTACACGACACAATACTAAAATGCCGACAAGGCAGTTTCCAAACTTCACGACACAACACAGCAAGGACACAACAATAAATGTGTATATTTAAAAATTAACAATAATCTTTACATTACAAATACATTCAAATAGTAATAAAGAAAAAAAGGAGCTTTGTTCACAAATAAATTGGAAGCCCTAAAAACCATAAAAATAACATTCAACATTCCAAAAAATCCTCAAAATAACATTCAACCTACTTTACCCAATTGTCCGATAGCTTTGTGGTTTTAGCATCCAACCTTACTTTAAAAATAACTTTAGTGGTTTTAATTTTAAACCAAGGCCAAATTGTTCAATAGCTTCAATCATTGGCCCAAAACTATCATAATTCACTAAGTAATATATCCATCTTGCCATCCAAGAGATTTTGCTCAATGCCTAGGGCTTTTTTCGACATGAAAATTGGGGTTCAAAGCATGTGTTTGGATTTTGTATTATAGGAGTTGTGATTCCCTGTGGCTACACACACGAAGAATAATGCTAGAGTAAAAATTTAAATGAAGTGCATAAGGTGCGCGCCTCACGCCTGAGCCTAAGGCACGTGCACCTCAAGTGCCTCAAATGTGCCTTTTCTACAGTGGCTCGCCTCAAGCTGTCCAAGGCGAATCAGGTGCCCAACGCGCCTTTTAAAACACTGATGAAAGCCATCCTTTGTGCAAATAAACTAGGACGGAGTGAATCCCTTCTTCATCTCTGATTCCTTAAGTAACACTAGTATCCTAAGTGACCAAACTCCATAAATCTACTACCATAAACACAAAGTCCTTATTTAGATAATGCATCCATCTTTTTTTCCTTCAGACACCCACATGTTGTCTATCTTTCAACATGCTTACTAGTTTGCAAAAGAAAACTGAACATAAGAAGAAAGATATAGCTAAAAGCATAGCTTCCTCCAGGCATTTTATGTTCTTGGACATGAAGGTAACAGCTTGTGCATACCATGATTGATAACAGGGCAGCCCACAACCTTATTTGAGAACTGAGCAACAAACTCAATAACCTAGTTGTACAATTATGAAGTTAGTGCCTATTGAAGTTTGTTCATGTGCGTAAAAGCCAACTTCAACATTTTAAGACTTGTGCCTATGAATGGTCTCTTGGTTAAATTCCTGCATGACTCTTACAATGACCATCCCTTTGTCAAACTCATTAGGGTTCCCAGAGGACTTGTTGGCAAATTGCTATCAAATAGGGATGGTGCACAGGATGCTTGTGGAGAGTTGTAATTGGTGTTACATAGAAAGGTTAATGGATGAAGGAATGTATTTGAAATAGAGCAACAAACTCAATAGACTACCTGTACAATTATGAAGTTACTACCTATTGAAGTTTGTTCATATGAATAACAAGCCAACTTCAACATTTTAAAATTTGTGCCTGTGAATGACCTCTTGGTTTTCCTTGGTTAAAATTCCAACATGACTCTTACAATGCCCCTTCCTTTCGCCAACTCATTGTACAAGATGATTGAACCACATGTTTTACTCCTAATATGCCACGGCATGGTCCACATGGATGAATATTTGCTTCACCAAAATATCAAGGACTTGAAGTAAGTTGAACCCAGATCTAGGCCGGCTTTTTCCATTAAATCAAGCTAGGGGAATAGGGACCAATGCCAAAGTTATGAAGAAGGTGCAAAATGAGTTTAAGCATGTGATACTTAACAAGATCCTAATAACTTGCCGCCATCTCGAGTGTAGTTCATAATATAGAGTTCGTACTATGAGCAAACCACCATCTCAAGAACCTTATTGGATGGTGCCTATTGCGCAAAAGCCTGATTGAACTATTCCACACTACTTCAAGCCAAATCCACCATTTAGGGAACTAGTGCCACATCAGAAGCAACATATGAGGAGCTCACTACAAAGCATAAATTATAGGTTGAAACAAAGTGATGGTGCACAAAAAGCACACCGTCCTAATTGTATTGTTTCCCTTCATCAACATAACGATAAAGTATTACCAAAAAAAAATGAGAATAGGTTAGGCTAATGTCTAGACTACATTGTAAAGAAAGTCGAATTTAAGGCATGTTAATTTATCAACCTTGAGTAAAGCATTATAAGGCAAGCACTATAACCCAACCATGCTTATTTCTCATGCTAGCCAAATGATATCTTAGTTATAAAAAGGGGAGCCTTAGAAAGAAACACAATTGATAGGGCTCTTAGGACGAGAGCATGCACAATTGGGCAATGGAGTTCCTCAATGGTACAAAACAAGCTTTGATAGATGGCCCCATTTTTGCCTTGAAAGATATTGCTAATACCAATGCATCAACTTGTTCCTCAGGACAAGCCTTCTTTATAAAGCCACTTAATGAAATCCATGAACTAAAAGAGATGGAAGAATGAGCATACACCCAAAACAAAAAATTGATTGCAATACATCATTATTTTCTCATGTGGTCATTTTATGTGGTATAGAAACTAATAAAGTAGATGTCAAAGATTGACAACTTGTCAAGTTTGACTTTGAGCTTGGATACAAAGAAGGCTATAACAACAATGTCATGGATGTTCAAAGTAAGAGAGTTGTGCTTGTTTCTATGCAGTTGGTTCTGCTACCAAGGCTGCCAACTTGCCACAAACATGTGAGAGTGCATTTACGAAAACACAAAAGAGGATATGATGACATAAGTTCTTTTGATAAGTAAATATAGTATTGCATTAAAAAGACACCAAGGGGCTGACTGACATGTACATTAATAACAAAATAAAATAATTACAATTAATTCAAAAGGACACCCAATGATAGATGATGTATCACAAGTAATTTTTGTCATTTCAAAAATGATTAATGACAACAAGTATTATTCAACAATGATCCAAAAACCCCAAAAAATAAAAAATAAAAAAATAAAAGAACTTAAGTCAATAAAATTACAGGACGAAAAATTGATTCATGCTGATGCAAAGTGCAAGAGATAACAATCAACCAAAATTAGCATATACTCACTCATCTTTGTATTGTTGAATTTCACCCTCAGGAAACTCCCCAGAAGGGAAAAGTTCAACAATAGGAATAGATGGTGGATCAGTTTGCTCTGGCAGTTCTTTCTTCTTCCTGTAACAAAGATGAATTTGTCAAACATTTTTTTTCCTTTCCCCAAAATGTCAAGCCAGAGAGACAAGGTAAACAACATTGCAAATAGAGCCTTACTTGCTTTTACTTTTCTTCTTCTTCTTCTTTGTACATTCTGGCAAATCTGTTGTTAATGCATATAAGTCCACATATCAGTTGAGGGAAATTATTTGGCTGTCTCTATTGACAGAGAAGCACTGCTCCACATCAACATAACAAATGTCCATGGAAACATGTACAACTACGGAAAATTGTTGGGCATGGCATGGGTGGTTGCCCATGGATATCTTCTAATGGGTCAAAACTATGGTATTGTCTTTTCTATGTAATCTTTATTAGACCTATTTATTCTAGTTAGTTAAAGTTTCTTAACTTCCTAATTATGGAATCATAGGCTTTATAAGAATAGGAAAAGTCTGGTAAGTACATAGTTACACCGGAAGCGTAGAAGTGCAGTACGCAACCGGGCCATCGCAGTTAACAACTTGAAGATATGTGTCTAATCTTTCCTTTCAATATGAATTGAGTTCGTGAGAATCTACAATTGTTTTTTGTGAATTTGCATAACCTTTTCCCTCTTCTGTTCTTATTCTTCTTCTCTTTCTTCTTTGCAAACATATTAAGGGGTTCACAGCCATAGAACAACCTCCTTTTCAACCCCGGAACCTTAGCCAATCAAGTTAACATGGTCCCCAACTTTATTTACAATGTGCAAGGAATCGTATCAGGAGTCTGATAAGTAAAATATCTTTATGGATTTTGATGCATCCAATGGTTTAATGTAATCATCCTCAGGGAAATAGGTAACTAAATTGAATTATATACAACTGCTAGTTTATGAAAAAGAAACCTGGTGGCTCATCTAAATCCAAATTATCTACTTTCTCCTCAACTTCTTTTTGCAACACACAGGAAATGCTACTGGCTTCTTTGAAATCTACAAACTCCGAAGTTCCTTGTTCTTCAATTGGTAGTATTGAATTTAACTCTTCCTTTGCCATCAGTAAGGCCTGCATGTATGAGTACAATAAACTTATTCCATGTGATTTATTAATGAAAACATAAAGAAAAATACATGAAACTTTTGTGCAATTATAGTGAACTTTTGCCAAGTGAATATAATAAAAGTAAAAGAACCTTCTAGATATTCATTTTAACAAAAGACAAATGATTCACAAATCAGCACAGCAGCTATTTAAAATAAACAAATCGATAAATTTTAAGTTGTTACAACATGCTGGCCAAATCTTAAGTTGTACAACAAGCTCGCCAAATAAGGTGGGTGTCATACCTTTGTACGCACCTACTACAATTACTCAGGCCAATAAAGTGGAGTAGAAGGTATTTGCAATAATTGAGGTAAAGAAAAAGGGGAGTGTTTAAAGCAAGCAGAACCACTGTAGTAAGCCATAAAGCTTCTATAAAGATTCTGTGGGGAAGAGTGAATACCCCGAGTTTTATCAAAAATACCCTTAAGTTTTATCAAAATACAAATTCCAATCTTATTGTGAATACACCTTCCAATGTTTGTATTTTAATAGAATTATCAGAAGAAATAAAATTACCGAAGTACCCTCTAGTACCAAACTAAAATTTAGCTAACTACTCTATTCTCCTTCTGCTCCCACCCAAGCCACTCTCTCCACCACCACCCTCTCCACCACCACCATACTCCCCCCAAGTAGGAGTGTGCAAGGGTCAGGGCGGTACGGTCCTAAAGAAAATACAAACCGAATTGCCATTGGCGGGTTTTGTAGTTTTGTCAACAGCCACAGGGCCAGCGGCTCAGTAAAACCAGCAGGTCAGTTAGCTTTTATAGGCGGTTGAGCAGGGTAGGCCGGTGGAAGCAAAAATATTCTAAAATAACAAACAAACCAGAATTTTGACAATCATTTACACAACAAACCAACAAATTTCTTGACCAAAATATGTGAAGTCTCTGTCTAGGGTACATGCAAACTATCATTTGCATCCAACAAACGAGAAATTTGATGCAAAATATGAACTAAAACAGATGTCAATTTCAAATAGTATCAAAAGGAAAAGCAAATTTACTTAGTAAAAAAAAATTGAGAAAATGTTGGGAAACCAAATATATCAGGAAATCTACTTCTTTTCAATTACTATCCAATCAATTTGGGAAGTCTAATTATATTAGGAAATCTATGTCATTTTTCTTATATAAAGATGCTTATTGTAATGGTTCTGAGGAGATTGAATAATGTTAAGAGTTTAGTTGGCCAATCCCCAATTCAAAGGATTGTTGGTGGCCGATCCCCCAATCAAAGGATCAAATTCAAGGTCTAGGACCCTATCATCTGGTATCAGAGCATTCTATCTTTGAGCTTCCATCTTTTCCTACGCTGCCATTCATCATCATCATCATCATCATGACTATTAAGGAACTCGAAGATCAAGTTGTTGTTCTTACTACTAGGATGGACGTGATGTTTACCAATATGCAACAGTTGATATGTGATAGACAAACCAATAATACCATTCTTCAAAATATCCAAGCGCTGTTACAGGATAGGCAATGTGAAGCTCGCCTTCCCTAACCTAGCATCAATCTTAATCCACCTATACAACACGACGACGATGATGATCGGCTTGCTGGTCCAAATTTTCAAGGTCGAACTCTCCGAACTGATTTTCCAAAATTTAACGGTACTGATCCTGAAGGGTGGTTATTTCAAGCTGAACAATATCAAGAACCTAATGGTGTTTTAGACGCACAGATGGTTCCTTTGGCTATAGTGCACCTTCAAGACAATGCTATTTCTTGGTATCGCTAGATTAAACAATCCCTTAGGGTTTTGACTTGGCACCAATTTTCTCAAGCCATATGCACCCGTTTTGGTTCTCGACAACACATTGATCCTTTGTAGTTCATTAGCCAAACTGTCTAAGATTGGCACTGTTCGCAAATTTATTATGGAGTTTGAGCGACTTGCTAATATGGTTCCAGGTTTGCTTGAGTCACATCAAATTAGTATTTTTCTTTCTGGACTTCGTGCCGACATAAGGGCTGGTGTTTGTTTGCGTCGTCCAATGAGTCTAACCAAGGCCTTTAATTAGCACTTAGCCAAGAGGATGCAATTATAGCAACCATCGCACATAATATGACCAAGACTATTTCTCATCCATCTTCTTCACGGCCTTCTAACATATCTTATGTACCTAAGCCTGTTAACCAATTAACATCCTTACCTACTAGTGTCAAACGTTCGTCATGGACTGAACAGAAGGAACGACGTGAGAAGGGTCTTTGTTTTAATTGCGATAAGATTTATAAGCCTAGTCATCGATGCCAAAAGCCACAATTATCTCTCTTGGAAGGTGAACCGAAGGTCGAAATTGAGGACTTTGAATCTAAAACCGTAGTTGGTGGTGTCACAAAACCCCTAACTTCTGAAATTTCGTTACATGCTCTTATGGGGTCAACTCAACCTAAAACTATGCGCATCAGCAGCACTCTAAAAAATCAACCTATTGCGGTCCTCATCGACTCTGGTTCCACACATAATTTTATCCATCCTTCTTTTGCTAAACAGTGCGGTTATTCTATTCAGAAGGACAAGTCTTTACGAGTCATTGTGGCTAATGGTGGATTTTTAAATAGCTTGGGTAAGTGTTCTGATGTTCAACTTAATTTACAAGGCTATATAGTATCCACCGAATTTTTTCTTTTGGCTATTAGTGGCTGTGAAGTGGTTTTGGACGCACAATGGTTACAATCATTAGGCTTAATTGCTTGGGATTTTCGCAATTTAACCATGAAATTTCAAGTCACTGATCAAGAGTTCACTTTGGTTGGTAATGGTGCTCCTCCGTCATGCTTATGGATAATGGCCTGGTACATCGTCTTTCACAGCGTGAGTGCCACAAGGTCCTTTTACAATTAAATTCTAATTTTCTGCTACCTCCAGCTATACCTTCTAAAGTGCATGTTGACGTTGCGGCTATTCTTTCTCAATTTTCACATATTTTTGGTACACCCACAACTCTTCCACCTGTCAAGTCTCATGATCATCATATTCCCCTTGTACCTGGGTCTTCACCAGTGAATGTGCATCCTTACCGGTATCCTCACTTCCAAAAAGATGAAATCAAAAAAATTGTTCAGGAGTTACGAGAGGCTGGCCTTATTCATCATAGCGCAAGTCCATATTCGTCTTCAGTTTTGTTGGTTCACAAAAAAGATGGTTCCTGGCGTATGAGTTACATGGTGCGACTATATTTTTTAAGTTAGATCTTCGTTCTGGATATCATCAAATTCTGGTGCAAGAACCAGATGTTCCCAAGATAGCGTTTTGCACACATGATGGCTATTATGAATTTTTGGTCATGCCATTTGGCCTTTCTAATGCTCCTGTTACGTTCCAAAGTTTAACGAGCGATCTCTTTCGTTCTCACTTACGTAAGTTTGTGCTTGTTTTCTTCGATGATATTTTGGTGTCCAGTACTTCCCTCTGAGATCATATTCACCATTTATCTATCGTTTTTGGTATTTTGCATGCTAATCACCTATTTGTGAATGAATCATAATGCTCTTTTGCTCAAAGCTCAATTGGGTATCTTGGCCATATTATTTCAGCTCAGGGTGTGTCAGTTGACAATGACACAATTGCTAGTGTTTCCGAGTGGCCTGTTTCATTCTCCATTAAGGGTCTTCGTGGGTTTCTTGGCTTAACCGATTATTACCACAAATTTGTTAAAAACTATGGCAACCCAATTGCTAAAGATAGATTCTTTTGTTTGGAATGATGTCGCTACTACTGCTTTTTCTAATTTGAAGTTGGCCTTAACAACAACTCCAATTTTAGTGTTGCCTGATTTCTCTAAAGAATTTTCTATTGAGTGTGATGCTTCGGGCAATGGTTTAGGCACTGTTCTCATGCAAGGAGGTCATCTTATTGCATATTTTAGCAAGGCTCTTTCTGGTAAAAATTTGAATCTCTCAATTTATGATAAAGAGATGCTTGCTATTGTTTGTGCAGCCCAAAAATGGCGTCCTTATTTACTAAGCCGTCATTTTAAAATTTATACGGATCATCAGTCTAAAATATTTTTTGGAACAACGAATTTCTTCCCTTGAACAACAAAAGTGGATGTCTAAATTATTGCACTATAATTATGAGATTATCTATCGCCCAGGACTTGACAACAAGGCTGCCGATGCCTTATCTCGTGTCCATGAGCCATCAAGTCTTCTTGCCTTATCTTCCCCTATTTTTTCTAGTATTGATGACATTACTTGTGAATGCCACTCTGATGATTCAATGTGTGCTATTATTAATGGTCTTCAACACTCTTCTTCGCCTATGAAGCACTATTCTTAGGTTGATGGCATTCTTCACTATAAAGGTTGCATTGTGGTTGTTCCATCTTCTCCTTGCCGTTCTAAGTTATTGAATGAATTTCATGCAACCCCAACAGGAGGTCATTCTAGGTTCTTACGCACATACAAACGTCTACATCATAATTTTTACTGGCCTGGTATGAAAGGAGCAACAAAAACTTTTATTGCTCAATGTGATGTTTGTCAATGAAACAAGACAGAAGCTATTTCGCCCCCTGGACTTCTTAGCCCCTTGCCAATCCCTGATGATGTGTGGCTTGATTTATCGATGGACTTTATTGAGGGATTGCCATCTTCGCATTAGAAAACTACAATTTTAGTGGCTGTGGATCGCCACTCCAAATATGCTCAATTTATTGCTCTTTCTCATCCTTATTTCGCCACTACTATTGCTGATGTTTTTGTCAGAGATATTGTTCGCTTGCATGGCATGCCTCGTACAATTGTCAGTGATAGAGACCACATCTTTCTTAGTAATTTTTGGGAAAACTTCTTCACTATGCAAGGTATGCAATTATGTCGTAGTTCAGCTTATCACCAATAATTTGATGGTCAGACCAAGTTTACTAACCACACTTTAGAGTGTTATCTTCGATGTTTTGCGGGTCAGAAACCTCACAATTGGTCCCGCTGGTCGCTATTCAAATGACTCCGTTTGAAATACAACCTCGCCTTGGGCTAAATGGTGGTACAATACACTTATCATTCTGCTATTCAAATGACTCCGTTTGAGGCTGTCTACAGCCACCCTCCACCTTCAATTTCAGCTTATCTTCCTGGTACAACTGTTGTTCATACAATTGACCTTGCTTTACGAGATCGTGATCGTACTTTGCAACTTTTAAAGGATTATCTGCAATCTACTCAAGCTCGTATGAAATTCTATGTTGATGCCAATCAAACTGAACGCCGTTTTGCTGTGAATGATTGGGTTTTTTTGTGGCTGCAACCTTATCGCCAGTCAACAGCTGCATCGCAGCATTATTCCAAGCTTTCTCCCCGTTTTTATGGACCTTTTCGCATTATTGCGCAGGTTGGTTCTCTTGCTTACAAGTTGAACCTTCTTGAAGGATGTCGCATACATCCCGTTTTCATGTCTCTACCTTAAAGTTAAAGTTGTGAGCAAATGTTACTTCCAACCCCTACTTACCTTTTTTGCTTCTGTTTCACGTTTTCATTTTGTATTTTTTTAATGGGAAAAACGAATGCTCTAAGAGATTTAACTACCTGTTATGCACATATAGAGTTTTCTGTTCCTTTAGTTTCGAAGAGTTACTGATGTGGCAACTTCTTAATGGGTGCCGTAAAAATTATTGCATTTTTTTATCATTTTAGTAGGATCTTATGATCCTCGATCCAATCCGACAAATCCCTAAAACAATCCTATATAGGATCCCAATCTTAACAACCTTGGTGTTAACCCTCTCTCCGGTTTTCCCTTCCACTTTCTCCCCCTACGAACTCTCACGAGTAAAAAATTGTCTCACTCTCGTTTCTGTCTAGTCCATCCGATGCCAACAAGGATTCATCTCCTCTTGTCCTTGCGAACATTTAACCAACACCACTCACTCACACTCTCTATCTCTCTCCCTGTTCCTCTACACCGTATTGTTATCTCTTCTCTCGGTCTGAAGTAGTGACGGTTACCACAGGGATTCATTCATTCATTCTAAGTATAATCAACGTGATTCAATTCAAGTCGATCCATCTATTATATATACATATAATCTGTATTCGATTCCTCTTACAAAAAACATTCATTCTAAGTATAATTGACGTGATTCAATTCAATTCGATCCATCTATTATATATAGATATAATCTGTATTCAATTCCTCCATAAAAAAAACAATTCGATCCATCTATTATATATAGATATAATCTGTATTCAATTCCTCTTAAAAAAAAAAACGATTCAATGAAATATTGGGTGGTGCAGTTGAACCTATACTTCCTGATGAACTCATATTCCTATAATATAACCATTAACAAAATAATTTGTGAATTCTTTCACTTCATTCGAGTATATAACTTTTCAAATATTTAAATAACAATTTTTTTATTGTGTCTACTACAGTCTACAACAGTAAAAAGAGGGCAAAGTTAAAAACAGAGAGGTCATTTACATTACCTTCTTCTTTTTTTTTTTGAAGATGATTACAGAGAAGGCTCAAAACTTGCAAGTTGCATGAAATTCCAGGGCTGTGGGGAAAAAAATTTAAAAAAATAATATATATATATATATATATATGCGCGTGTGTGTGTGTGTGTGATATATATCAGAAGAAAAAAAAGGAGAGTTCAAGAAAAAGGAAGACGAAGAAGGATCAAAGAAAGAGAAAATCAAAGAGGAGAGAATCGAATCAAAAAAACGAAGGGGGGGAAAATAAAAATAAAAAAAGAACAGATCAATTTGTTTGCTGCGAAGAAAGAAAAAAAAAAACATGGGAAAAAATGAAAGAAAGAGGAAGAAGAATTGAAGAAAAACGAAGGGAAAAAAAAAGGTATCTTTGTTCTTCATTTGCTGCCGAAAGAGTACAAAATCTTTGGGGGGGGGGGTGGGGTGGGGGGAAGATGAAAAAAGAGGAAGAAAAATCGAACCAAATCTGCGAAGAAAGAGTACAAAATCTGCGAAGAAACAGAACAAACTGGAATCGAAGAAACAGAAAAAAAAAAAAAAAATGAAAGAAAGAGGAAGAAGAATCGAAGAAGAAGAGGGGGAAGAATCGAAGATAAACTTACCGGAATGTGGTCTTTGAAGGAGAGAATCAATCAGCACCGATTAAACCTCTTCAATCGCACCTTCGAAGGAGTGCTTCGACTCTCTTGGGAGTATTTCTGAAGGAGATAATCGAATAGATCTAGAACCCTAATTTCCTAACTTTAATTGGTTTCATGTTTTATTTATCATAAAATTGGTTTCATGTTTTATTTATGAAAAAATTACTCATAAATCCTATTTTACTAAATGTTACACTAATTAGTCCGGAATGTTTTTTATTGAACCATTTAGTCCTGTTTTTTTTTATATAATATTGTTATTAATTGTATTATATATCATGTTTACCTTTTTGTTCTTTTCTTGTTTTTGGTTTTGGGTTATCAGCGTGTTTGTTTATTAAGGATATACTGTAACATTCCTTTTTATTAGGAGCGAATTTCGTGGAAGGGGTGGACTCGTATGGAAGTGTAGGATGTTTCAGTTATTGTGTTCTTCCTGACGGCGTTGGGTTTGGGTCTATGGTGGTTCGTATCTTGGTGGTTTTTTGGTTCTTAGAGTTTTTTTCCCCTCTGACGTTCGTCCAGGTTTGGTGATGTTACTGTCTGTTTTTTATGTTTCTGATGGATTTTCTGATGGTGTTTGGGGGTGTTTTGTTGGAGTATTGTATGTACGATGTTTGTTTGTCGTTTAATGTTGTGTAATATGCTTCATTATTGTTGTTTCGCGCATTCCCGTTTCCGCGTTTTGTGTAACGGTGTTTCGATTTTTTTGGGGGGGGTATTTGCAGGGGATTTGTTCTATTGTGCAGTGTATTTTCGGTTTGGAATTATTGATGGCATGTATGGAGGGTGTGTCCGTGGGGGTGTGTTATTGTAACTTCCCTTCATCAAGTAGAACAGTTCGGTTTGGTGTATTTGGGGGAACTGTTGGTTTCGTAATGTATGTTTTGATGTTGGTTTGTGGGTCACATGTTTGGCCGATGTTGCGATCGCGTGTGTGTTTTTGAGAATTTCCGTCGTCATGTTAATCTTGTTTTTGTTAATTTTATTAGCATACACTTATGCAGTTTTACAACATATGACTGTTCAATTTGTTGCATCAAATCCATGCCGGTACGGAGCAGAAGTTATTTTGCTTCGTAGTGAACTGTGATGTTACACCCGCGTGTGTGTTTGTGAGAATTTCCGTCGTATTGTTATTCTTGGCGTTATTAATTTTATTAGCATACACTTATGCAGTGTTACAACATATGTATGTGGAATTTGTTGCACCAAATCCATGCCGATACGGAGCAGAAGTTATTTTGCTTCGTAGTGAACTGTGATGTATCTGTTATATTTGTCTACGTGGGTACATACATATTCAATTTTGTACGTTCAAATTCATTTGCGGGTTTTGCTACTTTTCGTATTTGTTACCAATTTTAGGTTGCCGGTATTTAGGTTCTTAATTTCCAAAAGTTAATGTGATAATTTGTTAAGTTTATGGTTGAGTTAGAATTGATGTTGTAGCGAAGAAGGTTGTTTTCTGGGTGGTGGGCTGTTATTATGAATGGGGGGTGGTACGTTATTGTAAATGTGTGTTTAATTTTTTCTTGGTGTAATGTGTATGTTGTTGCAGGTGGTTTTTTATATTTATGGAGTTTGCAGTGTTGTTGTTATGTACGTTCGGTCAGACCAACGCTGTGTTACGCATTCATCAAGCATTCACTTTCAAACAATTAATTGATGTTGTTTGCGACAAGTTTGATATCATGGAGCGGGAATTGGTTTGTTTATTGTTTTCTATTCCAGGATATAATAAGTTTAAGGTTGACTCTGACGATGACTTTCGAAACATGTTATTACTTGCAAAGTCTTTCGGGCTTCAACATATTGACGCGATAATTGAAGTTCGGGATCATGGGTCTGCTACTCAACGTGGTCTTCCAGTGTCACATGATGATGGGGAGTGTGAGACCGTGGATATGCGGACGGTCGATATGGAAGACCCAACGGATTTGTTGGCGACATATTGTCCTCATCGAACGAAGACGTATTTGTCTGCTGGGTGGGCATTCGGCATCACGCATGTCGGCCAAAATTTCCCAGGTGGTGCACATGAATTCCAAACCGTATTGTGCAAGTACGCAGTGGAATGTGGGTTTCAGTTCAAGTATGTCAAAAACGACGCCGTACGTGTTACTGCAATATGCAAATTTGTAACGTCAACTGCGTGCGGGTGGTTGGTTCACGCACGGGTGTCTCCTTCGAATAGTGTTATGTGTTTGAAGAGATTTATTAGTGTACATTCCTGTGGGGCTGCTGTACGAACATACCATAATCCACGAACTGGGTCAGATTTGGTGTCCGATGTGATCGCAGGACGTGTGCGTGAACAACCACTAACACGGCCGACGGATGTGGTATTTGACATGAAGGATGGTTATGGTCTGGATATTAGTTATCGGGTTGCATGGTTAGGGGTGGAAAAAGCAAGGAACGAAGTATTTGGCGACCACGCTATGTCGTTCGACCAACTTAGGTGGTACAGCGACGCTGTTATGGAAAACAACCCACATAGCTACATTAATTTGGATTTCGATCAGCAAACAGGGAGGTTTGTGAGGTATTTCATAGCTTTCCGTGCATGCATAGACGGGTTCAATGGTTGCCATCCACTTCTATTTTTGGATGGTACATTTGTTAAGGAAAGGTTCAAAGGGACGTTGCTCGCTGCCACTGCCAAGGATGGAAACCAAGGTATGGATGACAATTTTGTAATGGTTATTAGAACTATCTCCCGAACTATGTTACACAATGCTCTGTCACCATACCATGTTACTTACGGTTTTACATATTGTATAATTTTATATTGCATTATGTAGCAACAACTTGACTTACGTAGGATGTACTCACATGATGTTATGCAGGTTTATTCCCCGTCGCGTTTGCTATTGTCGATTCTGAAAACTCATCAAATTGGGAATGGTTTTTGCGTCATTTGGCCCAAGTTGTAGACGGAGGTCGGAATTTAACTTTTGTGTCTGACCGTAATTTGGGTTTAATACAATCAATGCCCGTTGTCTTTCCCGCGGCGCACCATGCATTTTGTTTGTTACATCTTCAGATGAATCTTCGTGACCGGATAAAATATGTTAACGCTGATCAGAAAGTTGGTCTAATGAGGAAGTTACGAGATTGTGCTTATGCACCTACAGTAACGTCATTCAATCACAAAGTTGAAATTTTAAAAGAATGCAGCCCAGTAGTGGTTGGTAATTTCTTGAAAGACCTGCATCCCCAACATTGGGCCAACGCGTACTTTAGGTATTTTTATATTTACATATTCGTGTCTCCCCCTAGTCTGTGTATAACTTATTGAAGGGCATGTACATCAGTAATTGTTTACCTTTTACAGGGGTCGCCGATACGGTGAGATGTGGTCTAACGCCGCAGAGTCGTTTAACAACTGGATTCGGGAAGCTCGCCACCTGCCCATTACTCAATTGGTGGATGCAATACGGGGAAAGATCATGGAAAAAATGTCAAAGCGTAAAGTAAAATCTAGCAACTGGGTTGGAGAACTTTGTCCGAAAATGGAAAAGCGTTTGATGTCTGAGTTTCAAGATAGCAGGCACTGGATTATTAGTCAGTCGGATGATAACATTTTTGAGGTTCGGTCCCAGCCACCAGTGTTAGTTGACCTTGCCAATCGTTCTTGTTCTTGTTTTCAATGGCAACTAAATGGTTTCCCATGTCCCCACGCAATTGTTGCTTTTCGGAATACGGGTAAGAATGTCTACGATTACATTGAACCGTTTTTTCATGTGGTGAAGTATAGGGAAGCATATGAAGGGTCGATTCACCCAATTCCCACCGTGGCCAAACCCAATTTCACACCATCAGATTATCTCATTGCACCACCCGTTTACAAACGTCCTCCTGGAAGGCCCAAGCGGAAAAGAATTCCATCAAAGGGCGAGGTTGTTCAACACATTAGGTGTGGTCGATGTCGCAAAATGGGCCATCATAACAGGAAAACATGCAAAGAAGCCATGTAGCACGCTTCTTGTCCACTTTATGTTATTTGAGAACGTTGATGAAATATTTGGTTGACATTATTAAATAATTACGTTAACTGTCGCAGAACTTTACCGTATTACTCTACAATAATGGAAGCTTATCCACAGTTCAATTATTTTTTACATTTACCTCATCTTACTATAACACAACTGTAGTGACTTGTTATAATAAGTTACATAACCTGTTCTTCTGGCCAAAAAAATGTCTCTCAGAATGTTCAATTTGTGTTGAATCATGAAAATTTTCAATGCCACTTAGACTAAACCCATACATCAGATTTACCCACTTCGAATTTTATTAAGTGACTTACTTTGACGTCAACGTTTGACACCAAATATTCCTGTCAGAAAGTACATGTCGTACATGTGTGACAATTACATCGACCATGTGCGCGAAGAAAGCCAATGTTTCCCCAACCCAAAACACTGGTCTACCGTTGACATTCACACATCGACATTCTAAAACAAACCAAATTACCAAATTCATCAAACACCTACAAATAAATTAACATATGCGTGTGAACAACATCAGAATGACAATTGAATTATTATCAATCACCACCGGACCTGCTATCCACAGTTCAACAGTAAACCATACGTACTTCGACCATTTCCATGTCTGTCCAACACAACACAATGGTCCACCTACAACGTTGCTATTTCAGCATTGCGCAAAAAAACAAAATGTACAACCCTTTCGAAACATCACCTCGAGCAACTGAACTTAATTGAAAACACACGCTCCGCCGACATTATTTTCGTCAAATACTATTGAAAGTAAGTCTGTCATCACATTTACACGTCCAACGCTACACTGATGTAACTTTGAACCGAAACCAAAAAAAATAAACCAACATCAACAAGAATACAACCACAACAATCGACACAACAACCAACAAATTGTACATTCAAAAAAATATGAACGACATTACGTTCCAATCACATTCCTACAGTGTAGCCATCAACACAAACTACACAAAACATTTGACCCCGAGCAAATGTGTAAATTATGTAGCGTTGCGACATTTGTTCAAAAATAGCAAGTCACTATGCACGCGATAAAGCAATCACACACAATTTAAGTAGTGTAAACTACTAAACGTCGTGTCATTTG